AAAAAAAGAATGCTTTTTGCTTAAAGTACTGGTATATTTTTGTAAGTTTTGAGTCTTTATTTACTTATTAACTTGTTCCTGCAATCATAAATATTTTATAACCAAAGGTGCTCAACCCCTAAATATATAATCCAACAAATTTAACCTGTGTGTGTGTGTGTGTGTGTGTATGTGTGCTTTGTGTGTGTGTGTGTGTGTGACAGGCTCTCACTCTGTCTCCCAGGCTGGAGTGCAGTGGTGCAATCATGGCTGGCTCACTGCAGCCTCAAAGGCAAACATGATGAATCTGGATGCACTGAGATGCAGAAAAATGTGTCTTTCATATCTAAGAATGTAAACCAGCTTGCATCCCCTGAGACTTCGGTAAGGATTGGGAACATTGGGGTGTATGGAGGCAACAACCACATTTATTAATGCTCTAAGGTTTCTGACAAATCTGTACTTGCCATTAGGCTTTTGATCTGGTAACATGGGAGTATTGTTAAGGAGACTCTCATAGCCTTAATAAATCATATGGCAAGAATTTGGCAATAAGGGGTTGAATTTCCTCTCATGCTCCCTGCCCTAAAGTGTACTGTGTCTTCCTAGGGCGAGGAGCATGAGACTGAAGTTGGATTTGAATGGTCTTTAATGTGTTTCCCATAGCCTCTGTGGCCCAAACCTCAGGATTTACTTGAGACAACACCTCAGGTGGTAAATATGACAGCTCATCCTTCACTTTTTTTTCCCCCAAGGGGTCAGGAACAAAAGTAACATTTTATCTGCTTCATGATCTGTGAAGGTCACCATGGCTTGGTCACCTGAGTCAATAAATCTCTACCCAGTAAGAGGTCAGGCATTCAGACAGTATTAAAAACTGTCTGAAGGAGAAACCCAGAAGACCTGGAAAACAACTTAGAAAATAAGAAGAGCAGTGTTTTGGGGCTTGTTTGTCATAAGACAGGAGCCCACAGTATTAAATCAGGACAGAGTCATCTGCTCCCATATCTCCTACCTGCCACTTCAAAAGTCACCTGAGGCTTCTCCATCTCTTGATGGCTAACAGTCCCATGGGAATGGAGGCAGGAAGTATCAGGTCTTTCCACTTTTGTGTCTGCTGGGCTCTGATAATGGCTCCTTTGAAAGCACAGCACATTCCCTTCAGTGGCGGCCAATCTTCTTACAGAAAGCAAATTGATTTATACTCAAGGCACAGTGGCCAGAAACCCAGACAGGGGCTTTTACCTTCTCACTTCCTCTGTGAGGGCCAGGAGTTAAGAAGCTGGCTCTGAAGTAGTAGAGGGTGCAAGGCTGTAGCTAGAAGCTGTGCCTTTTGGGAGGTTTGCTTTATTTTGTCTCTGCTCTATGTCTGTGATTGAAAACTGCAAAAGCCAAGTCTAAAAGCTGATTCATGGGAGTCTGGAGGCCCAAGGCTGCTTTGCATGACTTCCTGCAGATATCTAAACAGACTGGGTTATAAAATGAACTCCTAGCAATGCCTCTCCATTCTTGCAGTCAGGGACAGTGTTAGTTTATTTCTTCAAAGTCTAAATTATCTACCCTTGTAATAAGGCTAGGTTTTCATCTTTTTCCTAATTTTTCTGACTTTATAAAAATTAAAAAGCTTTATCACAATGTTTTCTCTTTCAAGGAGTCAAATGATCATAATTTTCCTACTTGATAAATGTCACGTCCCCGGTTGCAGGCTGCCACCCTATTAGCATGTACTTTAGCCACTCCCATAATACACTGCTTTTCTACAATGCAGCAGGTAGACATAAATATATCCAAATCTTGCCTGGTCAAATCATACATCAAGGTTAGCCTCTTATATTTGCCTATGAACTTGCCTGAATCCTCTGAAAACTGTTCAAGTTTTTCCTTGCATATGGCTAATTCAGACATGGAAAAAGTACATATATAGTGTCCCCACCATTATCTGCCACTTCCCAGAGAGAGCAAAGATTCAACTTTGCCAGCTGATAAGAGGCCACACTGCAAGTTGTTCTAGTGAGGCTCGGGTCTTTCGAGAGTGGGTATGTATGTAAGACAGGACTCAAAAGGCAGGAAGAAGAAGATGACTGGACACTAGATAACCATGGAAAACTA